AAAAATTTCAAATCATTTTACAAATTACGTAGTTATGAAGTAACAAAAAAAAAAGCATCCTCCATTTTTGATACTCTTTAAAAAAAAAGTATTTTTCAAATTCTCTCAAGTAACGGAGTTATGAAGTAACAACAAAACAGTGGCAATGGGCAGGACACATAGCTCGCAGGACAGATGGCCGTTGGGGCAGTAAAGTCCTCGAGTGGCGACCACGGACCGGAAGACGCAGCGTGGGAAGGCCTCCAGCAAGGACCGACGATCTGGTCAAGATCGCTGGAAGGCATTGGATGCGAGCAGCGCAGGATCGATCGTCGTGGAGATCTTTGGGGGAGGCCTATGTCCAGCAGTGGACGTCTTCCGGGCTGCGATGATGATGATGAACAAAACAGCCTAACTGAGAGCCTCCTCCACCCTTTCTGGAGTCGGTTAAAAAGCACAGACGCCAGAGTTCATATCGGACTTTATATTTGTATGGATTCACTATATTTTTCTTATTTATTAATATTTTACGGCTCTGGATACAAGTTAAGCCAAAATGTTACCAATCCAAAATTGTATTAAAATATATCATTTTTATGTGAAACTATTTGATAATGAGGTATATAATTAACTATTACTTACAATATTCTAACAGTTATTGATAACTGTGTCAAATTACTAAATTTAAAAGTAAAATTGAACGGACTTAACGAAATAAGTACCAAATATTGAGCTATTGTAGGCCAAATGAATAGCTTCCTTTACACGACACGTTCTTTCAAGCGAGTTCGGGAGGTTTTAGAGGTTTTTCGTACTACTCTAATGCTATAACTCATTTCCACATACCTATGGCAATACAGTATCTAAACTAATTGTCTATGGTGTGACGTGCGAGAGGGACGGAGTATATACAGCTAAAAACTATTACAATTCGAATTTCGTTACTAGGTTTAACGATACTTTTTTTCGGACTACTCTAATTCTGGCCGCAGCTGGCCTTTACAGCTTCACCGGACGATAGGCGGCGAGTGCAGATGGCACCAAACCAAAGGACTTATGGAGCGGCTGAAGGCCAACTCCCGCCTGACGGATACTGCGTGAGTCTGAGGGCACCGTTAGGGGGTTCGAACCTCGGTTCAGGCCGTCGTAATTTCGATCCCCGTTTGAATTGGACGGGGGATCGATCGGAGGGGCTTTAGTGTGGGAAAGACACGCGCGTATTCGTGAGTGATTGTATTTAACTACATGCAACCGCGACTTCGTCCGCGTGCAATTTAACTTTATTTTTTTAAACTAAAAGTAGCCTAAGTTACTCCTTATTACATCAGCTACTTGCCAATAAAAATCCCGTCAAAATCGGTCCAGTCATTTCAGAGATTAGCGGGAACAAACAGACAGACAGACAAAAAATGATATTTTGGTGTATGTACCGTAATTATATTCATATGCATGTAGTAAAAAACGGTTATTTCAATATTACAAACAGACACTTCAATTTTATTTATATGTATAGATTATTAACTGCCTGAAAGTCGATTCCTGAACGAGCGCACGTGTAAAAGACAGCTATTGTAATATGTAGATAGAGTTTATGTACTGGATGATTGTGTTTTAAAACATTTACAAAACAACATGTTCATCTGTATGAAGAAACATGTGAAGAATTTTTTTTATTTACGTAAGTAACGCTTACGTAAGTAAAATAATTATCCTCCCTAGTTTGTTATGAAAAGAAACATCTTTTTCCGTCATACTCGTGAACAGGTGCTGCTTGTGTGGTCTGTTCAGGTTGCGAACACTGATTAAATTTTTTGTTCTTTGCGATAGCAAATGCTGGTGGTCACTCTATTCTGCCAAATTTGAATTTTAATGACTGTGTATTATTATAAACATTTTCCACTATTATTTGAAAAAAATACGAGTTGAGTTTCTTGTCAGTTCTTCTCATCTCGAAATCATTCCGAACTGACAGTAGATTTAACATGTCAAAAGAGTCTGTAAAAGACCTACATGAATAAAGATATTTTGAATTTGAATTTGAATTTTAGTGGAATTTTAAACTGAGTTTTAGTGTTTTATTATATTGAACAAAATTAAGGCAGAAAAAGAGAGAAAAGTGAAAATTTTTCAATAAAACTTTGATAGGATACTTTGCTCAATCTTCTTGTGATGAATCTGCATTCCGAATGAGTGGTAGAATCAAAATATGACTATTCAAAAGTGCTTGTAATGAGTTTATTTGAATAAAGATTATTTCTATTTCAACTCTGATAGGTTTTTACGAATAAAGGAGTTGTACGGACAACCGCAAATGTCTGCTTACTGTGCAATACACAATTGCCTACACATGCAATTTCACCTCAATAAATTTCAGCTCATTATATTTGTTTTAGTAATAAAATTCAGTGATCGAGTAGCATTCAACCGAGGCGGTTTTATTTAGCAATCCCCTCATCAAATAATCATCAATCATCAATCAATCAATCAACATCATTACCACGGAACTGTGGGATTAAACTCCCACAGGATTATTTTTAGTATTTTGTCATATTGAACAGAATTAATACAAGAACAATGAAATAGTTAAAAAGTATTTCTGATAGGTTCATCGTTGTTTTGAATAAAGTATAGTGAAGTGCAAGTGTAATGCCCAGTTTACACTCAGCCCGAGTGGGCAGGGAAGTGAGCAGCGCGGGAGTGTAAACACGAGTGGAAACACTTCCCATGCCATTGGCGCTGCCACTCGCGCTGCCCGGCGCTCCCTCGATTGTCGGTTTTTAGTGCGCGAGTCAAAGGACTGGCAGCGCGAGTGGCAGCGTGTGTTTACACTCAGCCCTCTCGCTCAGTTGTCGCCCGGCAATATTACCGGCAGCGCGAGTGGCAGGGGAAGCGGCTGAATGTAAACGTATCATAGTGTTGGTGAAGTGAAATTCTAACTATATGTAACAAAACGTTGGACGTAAAACTTTATATAGTAATAATTAATATTAATAATAGATTTAAAAACAAATGTAATAAATATTTACAATATTGAGTATCACTAAACGTTATGGCAAAGATACACCCGCAGGACGGGCTACCGTACGACGTACGGACCAGGGATGTTACGCAGCTCCGTAACCGACACTATCGGATATCCGATATAAAAAAACATTCGTAACCGAAATTATCGGAAACTAACCGATAATCCGAAATCATGTCCGGTATAATAATCATTATATCCGAAACCTATCCGTATCCGAAATTTCATATCCATAACGTCCCTGGTACGGACAATTGTCACAGCGAGGTTTAACGTTAAACTACAGACTGTTTTTTAATAACGGAGACAAATTTGACGTTTCTGATGTTGTCAGGCTATTGCAATGTGACAGGTAGGGAAAAATTATAATGTAAAAATATGACGTTCATAATAATAATAATAATAATACTTTATTTGCCAAATGTAGGTAAACAATAAGATGTTAAAAATATGTTGTTGAGATCCATATATTAACCATAAGTGGCTAAAATGTCCTACATGAATAAATTGTTTTGAATTTGATATTATCGAAATTTAATATTAATTATTCATTTTTATAGGTTATTCAGAAATAATATGTGGGTGTTTATTTAGAACGCATTAACACAAAATTAATAAAGTATAGGTATTAATATATATATGGCTGTTGTATCAAAATAGATTTTAATATTTTTCACTAATATAAAGACTAACTGCCTTTTTATAAAATAATTATTATTTATTATTAAATATATATTTAAATATTGTAATATCAAAATAATATTTTGTTTGTTTTGTAGCTTAATACTGTAATATTACAATTGGTACGGAAATCATAATTTAGTATTTTTATGCTGTATAATACGATGACAGTAGTGGAAACACTAGTATAAGTACGTAAATATATAAAATTCTATTGTAGAAACGTCATTTAAAGCTTTAAAACTAATGTTAAAATAAAAGTTTCCGATTAAACAAATCGGTATCGCAGGTACACCACTACCGCGCTGTAGGTGGCAACATTATTTGAAAATTTGACATTTGCACCTGTCAATTTAGTCTCCGGGATTAAGAAACAGACTATAGAGTTATATTTAACTGCGCCCGTAAAGTGGTGTGTTAACTTCGGTGGTGATCAATGATCATGCATTATTTAACTACCTAACGATGGCAAGTTTGTTTCGAATAACTTTAATATAGAATAATAAAGTATAACTCTACTTTCTATAACTCTAAAATACGGGTAGTGACTTAATAAACTGTACCATTTACCGTCAGTTGGTGACGATTATAAATTAAACCTTGATTGACGACCTCGGTGATCTAGCGGTCTGGCACACCGCTTTACGTCCGATGGTCGCGGATTTGATTCCTCGCACGGCACAATTGTATTCATGAGTATGATTGTTTGTATCGCTCTGGGTGTTTTCTATGTATATTATGTATGTATTTACAAACCAAAATTAACTATGTATTTGTATCAGTGATCTAGTGCCCATAACACAAGCTTTAGCTAGCTTAACTTGAGTCTAGATGGCGCTGTGTGAATTGTCCTGAGATTATTATTATTATTAAACTCTTATTATAATTTAAAGTCACCACTTGGTGTCAATTCTGCACAATTTAATATTAAGTTAATAGAAATTGCAAGCAGGAAATTGTTAAGTTATTTCAGTCTTACCACACCAATATAACTCATCATTTTAACGTTAAAACTCATCACGACGCGTCCTCGTAACTATATTTAAGGTAACTCGAATACATTAAGATCTAAGGCACTAACGACGCATCACGTTAAAGCATATTACAACCGACTTTCACTTGCAGCGTCGTAACTTTTCATTGAGATTTGCGATCAGAGGCCGTTCAAGTATTACGTAGGCAGATTTATTAGAAATTATTTACCCCCATCCCCCTTGTCAGCAAAAGTAAGCATAGCTCTTACCCGATCTTCCTTACGCTTACGTAAAAATTTTTCAATTAATATATTGCTTTTTAGCAAAGACAATGTGAGGGTTGCCATTCGTGAAAAAAGTAAATGACTACGATGACGTAATCATCAGATTCTCTCCACCCCCCAATAGTGCTTACGTAATACTCGAACTCCTCACGAGGTGTCGAATTAACAACAGAAGCGTGGGCGTTTAGAGTCCAATAAACGGCTAATTGCCGTTAAGGGTCACTTCGTCGTCGACGTTCTCGGGGGTCTCGTTGGCGTTGAGGTCACAGTCTATGGCCGGCAGGTGGTCCATGACCGCCCGGATGGATTCGACCGGGTCCGCGCCGGCGGTGTGTGTGGAGCCCCGGGTGGCGTCCGGCGGGGGGTTGTGGTTGGCGTCGAGGTCGGCGTAGTCGGGCGGGAGCTCGACGTTGTCTCGCGCGCGGTGGTCGTGGAGGGGGGCGGCGGCCGCGTGGAGGCCGTCCCGGCTGAGGTACTGCGGCGGGGGGCCGCAGCGCTTGTACCGCACGGCGTCCGCGTAGGGCGGCGGGCGGCGCGGGTAGTCCTCGAAGTCGGCGCCCAGCAGGCGGATGGTGCGGCCGTTGAGCGTGTAGGTGTCGTCGGAGCAGAGCCGCACCGGTCCCGGGCCGGCCGCGCCCTCGCACACGTCGGGCGTGTCGGGGCGGCGCTCGGGCCGGCCCAGGCGCGGGATGCTGAGCTGGAACCGGCCCACCTGCAGAGTTATGGGCCTCCGCCGCAGGCTGTCTCGCTCCACGGGCGCGGCCATGTAGTTGAGGTCCCGGCCGCAGTCCCCGGCGCGCGGGTCCGTGAAGTAGAACTCCGCGGAGTCCAGCTCGCAGCAGGCCGGGGCCGGGGCCGGAGCCCGGCCGCGGCGCGGGGAGCCCCCGCCCCGCACCACTGACGTCATCTCCACGTCGCAGCACTGCGTCGGCACCTGCAACAGGTCACATCGTCTCCTTTGTACCGCACTACACTGAATAGTACACAAGGTGACACATTTATAAGGTCGACAATATAAATTTAAAATAAACATTTCGCTCATGTCTTCTTTATTACATATCTACTGTAGTGTATTATGTGACTAGTTTACTACTTATGTTTTTAATATTACCCTCAACTGTCAATAACGTAATATTCATTTTGCAAGCTTGTATTTCACTACATCTATGTACCTCTAATAATCGTCTATCATGGTATGGACATGTAATGCATAGGAATGAGGATAATAAAAATAATCTCTATTCAAATAAACTAAGACTTTGAATAGTCTAGTTTTTTTATTCTACCATTCAATTGGAATACAGATTCATCACAAGAAGAATAAGCAAGAAACTTGTGTGTTGCTCTTTTAAATAATATAATATTTTAAAGAAGGTGTTACATATGAATGTGGATGGTTATAAGGGCAGAGGAAGGCCGAAAAAGAGATGGATGGACTGTGTGAAAGATGATATGATAAAGGGAGTAAATAACGAGAGGACTGCGAACAGGGATGAATGGAAGAGAAAAACATTACGACCACAAATAAATGGGATAAAGAAGAAGCAGATGATCTACCTAATTACAGTTTTAAAAATAAAACATTGATAAAGTACAGTTCATTCAATATTTTAATATTTAGTTCATTCTTCAGATACAGAACTTCATTTAAAATTCAATATAATAATAATAATAGTACATTTATTTATGAAATTTTTCTTTTATTTACCCAGGCTGGGTCTGTCCTGTAGGAACCAGAATACGAATTATCTTGTACAAAATATTTAAGTCTAAAGTTACGAACAATTTGCTAAGTCAAAATATAAAATTCTTATTAATTCCATTCGTCAATCGTGAAAGTCAGTTAGTTATTATATTTTAAACACTCTATTTTTATCCCAAATTTGAATTTAAATTAAATTGTATTATCTATATAATATAAAAATGAATCGCTAAATGCGTTGGTAAGCGCTAATCTCGAGAACTACTGAACCGATTTCGATAATTCTTTTTTTAGAATATTCCTTGAGGTACGAGGATGGTTCTTACGGAGAGAAAAATTTTAAAAATTGCCTAAAAATGCCTAAAAACAACGCTTTTCTGTAATCCCATACAAACGATTCTTAATGATACTTAAAAGTCAATTTGAACTTTAATACCATACCATAAAGTTCAAGTGTAGGTAGAGAGGTTCCGGGAAGGCATGTGTCAATATTAGTCAAAAACAGGTGGTCAGTGGTAAAATGTCACTTGAAATGTACATGTCTCATTGATGTACATATAATATTACTACAAATCTCGGCGTCCTGAATAGCAGAATAAGTATTAAATAAACTAAAAAATTAAAGAATCGACTATTAGGTGTTACGAACATTATAAAAAAACATAAAAAAAAAAAGTACGAGCTGAGTTTCTTGTCAGTTCTTCTCATCTCGCAATCATTCCGAACTGACGGTAGATTTGACACATCATAAGAGTCTGTAATAGACCTACGTGAATATAGATATTTTGAATTTGAATGTGACTGGATGTACCTGTCGGTATCGCGAGGAGAATATAGAGGAGAGTCGCGCGAGTCCAAACCCTCCCACCGAGGGCTCGAGGGTCCCGGGGGTCCCGGGGGCCCCGGGGATACCGAGCGTCACGTGGGCCGGAGACCCCGGCGTGGGAGGTGACGCGCACACGGCTTCACACTGCACGTGGATATTGCATTTTATATTAAAGCTATGACTTTTAAATGAAAGAATTTAGATGTAAATCATGAAAAAATATAATTTTACGAATTTCTGAACTGTATTTATATATAATACTAGGCTGTACACGTGACGTCGTCCGCGTGGAATTTAACTATATTATTTCCAAAATAAAAGTAGCCTAAGTTACTCCTGATTATATTAACCACCTGCCAAAAGAAGTCCCGTCAAAATCGGTCCAGCCATTTCAGAGAAAAACCGGAACAAACAGACAGGCAAAAGTGGTCAAAAAAGATTATTTTAGTGTATGTACCATATGCATGTAGTAAAAAACTGTTATTTTAATATTACAAACAGACACTCCAATTTTATTCGTCTGGTTATCTTATATATAAAATTCTCGTGTCACAGTTTTTGTTCCCATACTCCTCCGAAACGGCTTGACTGATTCTCATGAAATTTTGTGAGCGTATTGAGTAGGTCTGAGAATCGGCCAACATCTATTTTTCATCCCCCTAAATGTTAGGGGTAGTCCACCCCTAATTTTTATATTATTTTAAGGCAAAACAACGTTTGCCGGGACAGCCAGTTTACCTATTAAATTAAGTAAGCTAAAAAATATGAATGTAGTGACCTGTGCGAGCGAGCTGTCGGAGGGCGGGGGTCCGGCGGCGGGGGAGGGGGGGCGCGCGTCCAGCAGCCGGGCCGCCTCGTAGCACGGCGGGAACACGCCGCCCACCTACACACACACACACACACACACGCTCACTACCTCTCCCTCGGGGGGAAAGGGGATCGTTAGTAATGTGGAGTAAATACCCCATTGCTAGCAATGTACTAAGTCGACCTCCACGCGGTTCCCCCTGGAAACCATCGTGATAAATTCTTGGTGAATTTCACACGATGTGCTAACTGACCTCGTGCTCATCGTTCGTATCATCCCCCACTGGTGCCCCGCCAGTGTAGACCATTAGCGCAGGCGGTTTACCATTCCATTAATCTTAAAAGAACTTTCCCTCTCTCTTAGGCAGTGCCTGAATAACAGTGATTTGCTGCTTGTATCCTGCAAACAATACACTAAAGTGCTGCCTTTTTGCGTATAGGCTATGCACACACACTACGTTACTCTCACCGTTTTAATTTTTTACTAGCAGATCCCACGACTTCGTTCGATTCGGCGGGTCACGGCGTCCGGTGGGCGTGTGGAGGGAGGCGAGGTCGCGACGTGAGGGGGCGAGGTCGCGAGTGGAGGGGGGCGAGGTCGCGACGTGAGGGGGCGAGGTCGCGAGTGGAGGGGGGCGAGGTCGCGACGTGAGGGGGCGAGGTCGCGAGTGGAGGGGGGCGAGGTCGCGAGTGGAGGGGGGCGAGGTCGCGACGTGAGGGGGCGAGGTCGCGAGTGGAGGGGGGCGAGGTCGCGAGTGGAGGGGGCGAGGTCGCGAGTGGAGGGGGGCGAGGTCGCGAGTGGAGGGGGGCGAGGTCGCGACGTGAGGGGGCGAGGTCGCGAGTGGAGGTGAAGAATGATATTATTTGTGATAGATTGGTATTATAGGTGGTAGAACTAAAAAATATGGTCTGGAAGTTTTATATGTACAAAAAAATAACTATGTATTTATAACAGTTGTCTAGTACCCGTATCAGAAGTTATGTTTACCTTGGGACTAGAAAACGCTATGTTATTAATTAATTAATTGTCCTGAGCTATTATTATTATAATATTGTTATGGTATTCAATGATTAATTATATAAGTTCAATAGTGGCAGTCCATAAATGTACGGAAACCGTGAATGCTATGTGTCGTTCTTTAAACAATCTAGTGACGGTAGTTGAACAAACTGCTCTCAACTACCCACATTGACATCGCTGTACTCCAGTCAGTTCGTGACTACGGCTAGTGCAAGTCGAGGTCGCGAGTGGAGGGGGGCGAGGTCGCGAGTGGAGGGGGGCGAGGTCGCGAGTGGAGGGGGGCGAGGTCGCGAGTGGAGGGGGGCGAGGTCGCGAGTGGAGGGGGGCGAGGTCGCGCAGATGCCCGCTGTCCGTCAACCGTACGACGAACTGCTCCACCGATGGGACCTCGACGTCGCGGGCGATAACGTCATTAAAATCGTCGTCGGGTAGTGTGTAGTGTGTAGTGTGTAGTGTGTAGTGTAGTGTAGTGCGGTGGTGGTGCGCGTTACCTGCGCGTAGTGCAGTCCGTAGTGGCGGCGCGTGGTGCGGTCTGCGTGCGCATAGCTGCGCAGCGCGGCGCGCTTCATGTGCATCTTGCAGATGGCCGACACCAGCAGCACCACCGCGATCATGAATATCAGCGCGCACGCTGCACACACACACAGACATTACATACATTATATATTCACTAAACTATATATTACTACCTACTCGCCTCGGCTTCACACGAGTATACATAATTCAAGAGGTATGTTTATATATATATAAACATACCTCTTGAATCACTCTATATATTTAAAAAACCGCTTCAAAATCCGTTGCGTGGTTTTAAAGATTTAAGTATACATAGAGACGGACAGACGGCGACAGTGACATTGTTTTATACTATGTAATGATATAGACTGTTCCCGTCCGCGTGAAAGTTATCTTTATTTTTCTAAAATAAAAATAGCGTAAGTTACTCCTTATTACATTAGCCAAAAAAGTCCCGTCAAAATCGGTCCAACCATTTCAGAGATTAGCCGGAACAAACCGACAGAGAAAAAATATAAAAAATGTTATTTTGGTGTATGTATATATTCATATGCATGTAGTAAAAAACTGTTATTTCAATATTACAAACAGACACTCCAATTTTATTAATATGTATAGATATACATGTAAATAATTGTATAAAACATGTTGTACACTAAAATGGGTTTAACATGAGTAATATATATGTTATTTTATGTCTAGACAACAGATTACTCTACAGAGTAATAGAATAGAATAGAAAATCATTTATTCAAATAAACTTAATTTAAGCACTTTTGAATAGTCAACATTTTTTTTAAATCTACCGCTTATTCGGAAAGCTGTCTCACCACAAGAAGAATAAGCAAGAAACTTGTGTGTTGCTATCTGTGTGTAATCTATACAGGATATTTATATATTTAGCCTTATTTATATAAATAATACATCATATTTAAGTTTAGTGCTATGAGTAATTTACTAACTATTATAGTTACTAGTTAGTTTCAGGAAACTATAACTCCAAAATTAACACGAGCCAAAAGTATGTAATTCTTACTAATATTATAAATTCGAAAGTAACTCTGTCTGTCTGTCTGTCTCGCTTTCACGCCAAAACTACGGAACTATCTGTGTTAGTTACTATCTGTTACTACTAGTTCTGGGTTATCTGTGTAGCAAATTTTAAAACATATCATATGGAAAACATTAGATTTGCATACCTGTGACCGTGTAGATGGTGGACTGTATGAACCCGTAGTCGTCGGGGGCGTGCCGGTCCTCGTACAGCGGCGGGTACTCCACCTCCATGTACCCTGCGTATACCACACACCATAAACATTTACTAACGTTAATTTGAAGGAAATCGTATTATCAAATTAATGGGCAAAATTAAGTATAAAATAAATGTATTATTATAATACATAATGAGAAAAAAGAATAACATATGTTAATATTAGAGTGTAGGATAATATGTAATAGGATATATAAAAAATATGAATATACAATGAGTATAAAAATTTTAGAGGTCCAATATTTGAGCCTTGTGGTACAACAATACTTAAAAATTGGATAAGTAAATGTTATATATATTATATACTCTACCACATTATCTAAGTAAAGTTAGTTTTATTAGCTTATTTATATTGTAACAAATTTAAGAATTAGAGTTTTACGTTCACCTAATCAAAAGCTTTAGTAAAATCCAATGAAACATTGTGATCATGGTGGTACCTTCCAGCCGCGAGTATCTGGGGTGCTCGTCGCAGCAGGCGGGCTGCCTGCAGAGGGGCCCGGGCGTGGCCCCCCCCGCCTCCCGGGGGACGCAGCAGGCGGCGGCCGGCACGCAGCGGCCGGAGGAGCAGTTGAGGCGGTCGGGGCGCGCGCAGGGCCGCGGCCGGCACACGACCTCGTCCTCGTCCTCGGCGGCGCGGCAGTCGGCGCGGCCGTCGCACACGTACGCCGGCAGCACGCACCGCGCCCCGCACGAGAACGCGCCCCGAGCGCACTGCCGGCCGCCTGCGGGCACCCCACTGCGCGTTACGCTCCACTCCACCACTTCCATCCTACACTTTTCTCTAATAAGAACGCTGCTACTCCACAAGACGCGGCCGGTGAATCATCCTAGGACGCTGGCCGACCGACTGACGGTGCCCGACGACGTCCGTCGACTGAGAAGGCGTAGGTTACTGGGATCCGACGATTAATCAGGACCATCAAAAGAGATGATGATTCTGCTGGGAATCCCACTCTACTACTACTCAAGCTTGCTCGTTCTTCTCGTAATGAGACAGTCAACTTTCCGAACATAGATAAAAATGAATATTATGACTATTCAAAGGTGTTTAAATTAAGTTTATTTGAATAAATGATTTTCTATTCTATTCTACCCGCCAAAGATTATGAACAGATGTGGTCAAGATTACGTACCTTGATCACATCTGTTTATAATCTTTGACTGTTTGCAGAATGGACACAGAAAAAAAAAGAAAATAAAAACTATAACACACACATTCATACTTATACAACATCAACTGAACATGAAGAGAATGTAAATCATATTTTCTTCTCTTTTTTTATTTAAACCACTCCAATTTAATGTACCCACATCTCATTAAAGCAAGAATCCTTTGACAATTTTCTTTGAAAATACTAAAGTTTTAAGTATCCAGCATTAGGTAGTAACAGCAATATCACTGTAGATAATGTATACTCACTTTGAGTCTGCACCAGTATATACTTGGTGACACTGAAGGGTGGCGCCGAGCACATGTAGTGTCCACTGTCGCTCGCCTGCAGCTCCAGTTTGGTCAGTGTGCTGCTCAGTGTCAACCCTTGGGGCTCCACTGTGAATAGTGTCCTGGAGTATATTATTTACTTGATTAATATTTTGGCAATATTCCACACAAATTTATGTAACAAAATATATTTAATTTAATTATTTTAAATTATGCAATCAGTTTTCCAGACTTTGACAAAAAATTAAACATGATGTGAACAATTTTGGCGCAATATATAAAAAAAAATCTCTAAATACGTGAATAATAATATTCAGAGATAAATTTTCATTTAAGTCAATGGGATAGGGGTGGAACGATTAAAAAAAAGGGTTGATAAACACCTTTTTTTTTTCAAAATAACTTGATAACGGTAAGAACTATGAAAAATGTTTTAAATGAAAGTTGTAGAGAAAAAAATTCTGCACAAAACAGGTTCTTTTAATTTTTTCTGCTGTTGCACCAAAACTGGTTTTCTTCTTCTTCTTTGTCGATTCCTCAAGACTGAGGGTCGTGACCACCGGAATGCTTCTTCCAACTCTCCAGGCATTTCTATCTTGTGCTAAGTGGATTAACCACTGTATATTTCATTTAACGGCCTCTCGTACAGGATCAGTCCAACGTGCAAGTGCCCATTATACATTTTTCAAAATTATCTCGTTTTCAACAGGCCATGTGGCCGAAAAAAGTTAGCAGAGGCTGGAAACACACAGTAGAGAGACATTCCGATACCCAGTTGTTCCAAAAGAGATGCACTAGTGCGGCGTCCCATCCATGATATTCCTAACATTTTCCGCCAGCATCACATCTCGTAAGCATCTTTTTTTTTGGATTTTCGTGCGATTTCCAGGTCTGGTCAAAACTGATCACATGTTAAATTTAAAATTTTAGACTAAATAAACAGATTTGTTGATCATGTAAAATCTCGTGATTCTCCATTGAAAATCCAGCCTCAGGTACTCCAGCTTATGCCAGGTTGTTGAAGTCTGGTATTTTATGTCTCTTAAGACATGCCATATAATCAGACACTGTTAGTTGAACAGCATGTTTATTTGTATGTCTGTCAGTTTGATTTTATATTTTTTTATTGTCTGTGTGATTTCCTCCTTGACAGAGTTCATCCCTAGGTGCTGATGAACCTCTCAGTTACAAATATATGATAAAAATATATACTAAAATAATATGATATTCACCTATCACCAGTTGCATTAGCAGGCACAAAGTTCCACACATGAACTCGTGGGGTACTGTCCCCTCGCTGTTCACATACTAGTGTGAGGTTGTCATCGAGCCTCCTCACTAGAACATCTGTGTACTCCACCTCCCCCGGACTGTACAGGTAGAGAGACGATACAGGGGGAGGCAGATCACATGTACCTGAAATATAAAATAATATTTTGACTTTGAAATATCTTTATTCATGTACACTTATGACAATGTCTAATGAAGAATCTTTACATGTTTTTTTTTTCTTTTTTTTACTTTAATCATGTAATCAGGCGTCCAGACTATAAGCAGATTAGTTGATCATATGAATTTAAATATGTGATGGTGTAATATCCCCCATACGTTATATAAGGACAGTGGCTGGGCCAACATAGAGAAGCAAAGCATTGGATAAAGGAACATGGAGTCTTTCAAGGCCTATGTCTTAGGACAATCTGACGAACCTAGGCAGTGAACTATTAATAAACAAAAGCAACATTAACTTTACCATCAGTACAAAAGCAATAAATAGGTGGGAATGCGGATTGTTAGTCAGGTTGACCTCTACGCGGTTCCCCATGGAAACCATTGTGATAAATTCTTGGTGAATATGTCACAATGGGCTAATTGACCTGACCTCATGCTCGTCTTGTCATCCGCCACTGGTGCCCTGCCAGCGTAAACCATTGTGATAAATTTTTACATTGGTAAATATGTCATATAGATCAATGGAACTAATTGACCTGACCTCATGTATATTTATATAGGTGTCTATGTCTTGTCATCATGAACAACTATTGCATAGGCCTCGGTAAATATGATTTAACTGGTGCCCATGCCATCTTATTGTAAAACCATTATTCCCATAAAAGACCTATTAACATTCCATTAACATCCATAAAAAAAAGCAATAAATAAAAAAAATATCCCCTAACATAATAATTAAACATCATCTCAGACCGGAAGATGTCCACTGTTAAACAAAGGCCTCCCTCATAGATCTGCATAATGATCGGTCCTACATAACATGTAATACCGTTAGGAAAACAAATCAAAACCAAAAAAATCTGTTTTTCTTATATTTTTAGTAATTAACAGAGAGCAATCAGTAGATTTGCCAGATTTTTTTCAGCCTATATGGGGCAAATGCTTAAGTAGACAAAAAAAATAGTTTTTTACCCAGGACAAATTATCAAAAGACAAATTGTCTAGTGTTGATTGATCGATTTAATAATAAAGATGGATCATGATTCGATTACGGGACAGAGTCAGTCCTAAGCCTAAAATACGGGATGTCCCAGGAAATATGGAATGTCTGGCAACGCTAGCGATCAGTTACATTGTATACATTGTGATAAATGATACATTAATTTTATCTGTCCAAGATTTATTGTGGCTCATGAGTAATTTTACCAGGATTCTATTTATAAATATCAATATCTACATTCAGTGGCCTTCAACTTGCATTTATTAGTCGTTAAATAATAAAAAAAATACCAAACAATGATCTATAAGAACATGTAGGCACATCAAAATAAAACATAGCTTATACTGTTACATTGCATTATATATTCAAATAAAGCATTCCTATAAAATACCGCATAAAGCAGAGTAGCACAAGTGAAAGGATATGTCCATGGTAAAAAAATAATCCGTTACTTAGCTACACCATAAAATATACATGATACGAAAGCCGAAGTCTATAACGGTTCATAACTGTACTAACAACAATTTCCTTGGAATGTTACAACTAATTATTATGTAAACATATTCCAGTACCTGTATTATCACATCAAGGTCTCAAAATTACAAATACTACAAAAATATGCAGATGAAGATTTTCGAAAAAAACATTCCAAGGTAGCAAATTAATAACAATGTCAAAAAACACCATACTTACATGTTTTTGCAGTAATAATAATGAAAATAACATTTAACAAATGACGAAGAGTGGATATATACATTTTTATTTATTTTTAATTAATTCTATTTATATTGATAATCACAATTCAGACGCCATTTTTTGGCGTATTCCAATTGCAGTTGATTGTTTATATCAATGTTTTATCCAATTTGACAAGTGTAAGAAAAAAAACAAGGGATTTACTAGTTCAACATCAAATATTACTAAAATAGACGCGATACTGGAACAATCTAATGAATACGTTCCTATAGCAACAACAAACGTCATAAAAATATTATACGCAAGTATTATCGCGCCATAAGTACGTATAGATAATAATAAAAAAATGTAATATATATAATAATATTTATCACAGTTCACGATTTAATATAATCATTTTTATTGATATAATTCCTTTTGGAAAGATTACAATTCATTGCTTCAAAATCAATTTCTTAAAAGATTCACGTGAAATGAAACGACATTAGAAAATTTATATAATGTCACTGTCATAAAAGAACGTAATTGTTATTGTGTTTAATTAAAAAATTGGGCACCATATTTTAATGAAACACAGAGCAATTATATATATATATATATCTCTCAATTTCCTATATAAGTAAATATTCATTTTAAAAATTAATTGGGAAAACCAAGGATTCTATAAAAACATTTGATTAATATATAAAATACATTTTAATTTTATGCACGTAGTTGCTTATTATGCCGTATTGTACATGTATCACCCTGGCAACAGTCGCAAATGTTACTTGGTTGTATACAAAAATGTATTCGACTGAAGAACTTGTATCCATAGTCATGAATACAGCATTATTAAAAAAAAAATACTTGGTTGTCAATGTCAACGTGACTAATCAATTGTACTCAAGTCTGTCTGATTTGCGATTGTATTTTGCAGTTTCTTTATTAATCATTAATCTTATTATTTACTCTTGTAACGTATAATTGAAGAAATACAAATAATAACACAAGAATACAATTTACTTTTACCTTGGTAAATCAGAACGATGATTAGAAAATAGTATAATATTGTCAACGTATTGATTATTTCGCTATTTATTTTAATATCTATATGAAGTTGAGACTGATGAGTATTAATTTTTACTAATTTCACAAGTGGACTTTATGATACACTAGTTTTATATACATCGGCGATCAACAATGGATTTATCTAGATTATCCAATGACAAGAAACTGGAACTTTGTAGATGGTATTTTAAAGGTAAATGTTTTGAATTCTTCGCCTATCGATTCCATTTATAAAAACTTACTTAATTCTGTCATAAAGTTTATCTATGCAGATATTACTCAGCCCAGCCCTGCTTTGTTGTGCATGTTTAGTATCACCTTAAATAAACATTAGATTTAAACTAAATGTATTTGATGTAAAACATTACAGTTTGAGCCCCTTCGGATTCCTGGTTTACTGATGCAATATTGAACAGATGTAAATTGAAATTATTATTTAAAATTCGGAATTTTTGAAAAAGTAAACTCTCCCAATTGGTGTGTCAAAAAGTCCAAGAAGTAAACCATCTGTTGATGGAATGTGATAGGAATTGAGTAGAGAGGAAACTATTTATTAAAACTTTTAAAATCAACAAATTTATTGTGGGCACTATTCAGAGCATGCACTGTTAAAAGCAATTGTTTGATTTGTTTATTATTTTTAAGAATTGTTAGGATTGTAATAATGGGGTTGACATATTAAAAAATAAAAACCCCATTATAAATTTAGACTAAAACAAAAATTTATTTCCTTTGAATGTTATTTAGGTCTGAGTAATATTCATTATTTATAATGTACCAAATTATGTATTGTTAATTCCTATATAATGATAAAATTAGAATAACGGTCAGTGTAAGAGATGGAAAACTTTAAGTGATTCCAAACTACCTCTATAGTGACAATTGTAGGCTTTATTCTCTATTTTAGTGACTAACTAGCTACTTGCCCCTGCTTCTCACGGGTGTGCCTGTATTATATATATAAACCATCCTCTTGAATCACTCTATCTATTAAAAAAGATGCTTCAAAATCTGCTACGGAGTTTTAAAGATTTAAGTATGCATAGGGACGGACAGACAGTGACAGCGACTTTGTTTTATACAATGTAATGATGTGACCACTTCTTGTATGTGCATCATATTGTATATATTATGATAAGTACAGAAACATATACCATTGGAATATTGGATACAATTATTTCCTCGCAGCAGTGTTTGGTGACAGTCCAAAATTTAAAAAAAACTCTATTAACTGCAATAAATTTAGAAATTTGATGTCATAATGGTCAAATCACAGGACCACAGTTACTACCTAAACACATGTATAAATTTGTAAAGTTAACACTAAATAAAGACTTATTATTGTTATTATTATAATAATAATGGTCATATCATATTAATGACCTTGGTGCAGTTTTGCACATCACTTTACTTCTGATGGTTGTGGGTTCGATTCCTTGCATGGCAGAAACATTTGTATTCATGAGTATGATTGTTTGGTTATGTATGTATTTTAAAAAAGTATGTAAGTATTTAGGATGCTGTGTTAATTGTCCAGAGTTATTTATTTCATATGCATCTTTGATATTTGTTAATATATAAACCCAGATCAGGGGTGGATCTAACTAAGGGCTTTTTGGGCTGCAGCCCAGGGTCCCCAGTCCCCATCGAAACAATATTTAGAATATAAAAAATATCTAGAATGTTCATAATGACTCTGAGATCAATCAACCCATACAAATGTGTGTCTATAGAAAGGAACAAGGAATTTTTAGTGACTTATTTTCTTAGTTGAGTAATATAATTTTTTTTTTGTGGATGATATTGGAATGGTGCATCCGCCTGCGCTAACGGTTTACGCTGGCGGGGCACCAGTGGAGGATGATATGATGAGCATGAGGTCAGGTCAGTTAGCCCATAGTGACAAATTCACCAGGAAGTCGTCACTGTGATTTCCAGGGGAAACCGTGTGGAGGTCTACCTGAAATGGTACATTGCTAGCAATGGGGTTATCAATCCACATTATAAAATTTCTCACAATTCCCTTGCCCCTGAACACAGTGTGGTAATATAATTAGGTAGGTGTGTGTTTTCTACTGTAGTGTTTTTTAGGTTTTTATAATTTATTTATTTATTTAATTCAGGACTCCATTTTCCGTAATTGGCCTCTCATTCAGGCCATTGTGCCTGGGCGCCGAAGATCTAAATAGGTATAAACGTTCCTCTAATTAGATTTCGCATTAATATCCGTTGCGTAGTTTAAAAGGCCTAAGCGAACAGAGCAAAGCAACTTCACGATCCGCCCTTGTCCCAGATACAGTAATTTAAATTGTATTTCTATTTTGAACTTTATGTTTGTTCTCCTGAATGTAGCTATAAATATAAAATTTCTCCAATAATATTTACTTACAGTGGGCTGCTTGTTCCTGCCATTTGTGTGGGCGGTGAACACAGTGTGGTTCTTCAAGGAAGCATTTGTGAAACCTCCATATGACGAACAAAAGGAAATTAAAAAATGTATGTATTTTCTGTACATGAAGAATGTTTTAGTTTTGTTATTATTAGTTATTTATTTAATTCAGGCTACATGGCCCATATTATAAATACCTTATAGACTAACATACATAAGAAATAATAATAAAATGTGTAAATAAAATTGTCTGTATGGTCACGGCACTGACGACGGCAATCTGCCACGGTAGCGCCGATAGACTGTATGTTTATGTGTACATATATTATACATATAAACGTTCCTCTTGAATCACTCTATCTAGTGCTAAAAACTGCATTAATATCCGTTGCGTAGTTTAAAAGGTCTAAGCGAACAGAGCGGAAGCAACTTCATTTAATATTATGTAAAGATTATTTATTAACCTGAATTAAAAAAAAATGTTATCGTTTAACTAAAGTTAATAATTCGTTTTATGGTAATTGCGTAAGGTTTTACAATAAAATACCAGAGTCTGTTATAAATCTGCCTGAAAAAATATTTAAATGTCATATTAAATACTTCCTTTGCAAAAAAGCTTATTATAAAATTGAAGAATTCGTTAACTATAATAATGTTTTTATAGAAAAACTTAAAATCCATTGCACTGACAATATTATCTGATTACATTAATAATGAGTGCGTAACGATTTCTATGTTGATTATCGCATGCCTCTTACTTGTTATACTGTAATTATTTATATTAAAAAAAAACATCTATTTAAAAGAGCAACATACAAGTTTCTTGCTCATTGTTCTTGTGATGAATCTGCATTCCGAATGAGTGGTAGAATCAAAATATGACTATTCAAAAGTGCTTGTAATGAGTTTATTTAAAGAAATATTATTTCTATTTCCATTTCAGATGTACTAATGAGCGGCGCCGGTGCAGTAGTATGGGGCATAGGTCTAGTGATATGGATTACTGTGTACCAGCTGCAGAGGGTGTCATGGGGTACCTTCGGAGACGACATCTCCTTCATTGTACCCCTAGGAAGACCATAATGACTGAAACCAATTCGTAATTTGTATTAATGACAATTTTAAATAAGGATATAAAGTTTACAACTTGTAGAATAGACTTGTTATGAATTCAAAACAGTGGTCCCTCGGTTATCCGACAAACGTTTTGCAGGGCAGTGTCCGACCATCTAATTTGTCGAATTATAGAGCACTGCCTAAGGGTCCGCTATAGTCCGGAATTCTTTACAATGTAATCCGACAAATTACAGATACAGTGATAAGATTCTATATGTTATATATGCACTCTGAAGTACATCATCATACTACATTTTGTATGTCAACTACACAAAGATTCGTTACGATATAGGCGCTCTAAAATATCATATTTTTATTTTATTGTCATTGTTTTGTGCTTTCGCTTCTGAGCTGATACGTAATACACAATGAATAAACAGTAAACAATGAACACATGCTATACTGAATCTCTAACGTCATAACATGTAAGTAGTCAAATTCAAACTAAGCAATTATAATCAATACAATACCCTACGCGTCGAGTACAACAGTGGGGATGCGTACTAGTTCAAACTTGTTCAAATTTGTTCAGTCATGTATTAGAGAAGTTTGTTAAAAAATATTAAATAGTCAATAATAGATCATATCGGATTACAAGGGGTACCAGATTACAGCGGGTCCATTGTATATTGTAACCCCATTTTGGTATCTTAATTTTAAAGACAGTATGAAAATAAATCTGTTTACATTATTCATAAACTTTTCTGGTTATTCTAAACATTATAATCATGGGCGGATCTACCTAAGGGCTTTTTGGGCTGCAGCCCAGGGCCCCGAGGATACAAAGGGCCCCCAGTCCCCACTGAAACGATATTTAGAATATAAAAAATATCTAGAATGTTAAAAAAGCTATCATAAGGTTGGCAACCCTGAGATCAATCAAGCAAGTGCGTCTATCGAATGGAACGGGGAAATTCTGGTCGCTTGTTTTTGGTCGGTGTATTTTTTTAGTTGAGTAATATAATCAGGTAGGGCCCTAAGTAGATTTAGCCCAGGGTCCCACAAATTCACGATCCGCCCCTGATAATATAAATGCATCAAGTGTATATACATATATAGATAATTGAATAGCTTTGATTCAATATATTTAATATGGTTCACAAAACAGATATATATATGTCATAGTTTTCACATAACTCTGTTACTATACTTGTTACATTCAAAGTAAACACTAAAAAGTTATGGGAATGGTTGTTGTTTACTCTTTCACGATGCTTTTAACTAAAAAATATTGTGATAAAATATTTATATAATGTTTGACGACCTCGGTCGGTAGTCTAGCAGTTTAGCACACCACTTAACTTTCGAGTGTCGCGGGTTCCTAAGTATACATAGTATCATTTTTTGTATCGGTCTGAGTGTTTTCTATGTATATTATGTATGTATTTACTAATGCCAACACGGCAAGATGCTGTACCAAAACATAACATGTATTTTTATTTAATTTATTACAACATTGGTTCTTGGAAAAGGTATCGAAGTTAAATCTTAATGATAGTATAAACGCGTAAGTTTGTAAGTATAGATGGATGTTTGTTACTCTTTCACGCAAAAACTACTGAACGGATTTTGATCAAATTTTACAGTAATATAGCTTGTACATCAGAATAACACATAGGTTATAATTTAAAAAGGTATTATGTAAATTGGGCGAAATATAACGATAAATGTCAAGTAAGTGTGATGCAGATAAGTTGCACGTGAAGTGTAGTGTAGATATGTTGATAGAAACGTGTCTATCAAATTTCGTTCTTGTTTCTGTTATAATTATTAATATTTTAATCTATTAAATGTAATCATAATACATGAACAAGCCTGTGTTTCACTGTTGTATGTTCCATGCTTTCTTTCACATCATCATCATCTGCTTCTTCCTTATCCCATTTATTCGTGGTCGTCGTAATATGTTTTTCTCTTCCATTCATCCCTGTTCGCAGTCATCTCGTTATTTACTCCCTTTATCATATCGTCTTTCACACAGTCCACCACGCAACGCGTTGCGTATAAATGGTTCACGTTTAATATTTATGGTTATGGTTTAAAACTAATATTAAGAATAAACTATTTTAACGTTAAAGACCGCATCCACACCCACCGGTGGGTCACCCGTGGGCATTTTAATTGAAATAAATCTATAAATTAAATAATGTCTACCTCAAATTATTGCACATTAAAAACATATTTAAAAAATAATATACGTAACTTACTACTTACTGTACTTAACAATAAAAATGCGGTGTTCAACATGTTAAGAACGATATAATGATAAGTATATAAGATAAAGTATGAACACCCATTTTGACGAGACTTATTGGCAGGTAGCTTATGTAATAAGGAGTAACTTAGACTACTTTTATTTTAGAAAAATAAAGTTAAATTCCACGCCGACGAAGTCGCGGGTACAGCTAGTTCTAAATAAACAACTTTAACATAAGAACTAAAAACAGCAATTATGAACTGTATAAAACAAATCGTTATAAATGTCATAGTACAGAAAGATAATGTTGGAAATCTCCGCGTTATATCAGGGAATGCAGGCCCGTCTTAGACTAGATTAGGGGGCCCCAATAAATCGCGGGGCCCGGGACACGTGCACAGTGTGCCCAGTGGGAAAGAGGAGCCTGTGCCCGTATTATATGAGGGTTTGAAATCCGCGTATTATGAATATGCGTTGAATAGAAAAGAAAATCATTTATTCAAATAAACTTACATTGAAGCACTTTTGAATAGTCATTACATTTTTTTTAATCTACCGCTCATTCGGAAAACTGTCTCATCACAAGAAGAACGAACATGAAACTTGCGTGTTGCTCTTTTAAACAATTTTATTATTACTTTACATTTTTAAGTTTAAGTGTGTGAATACAAACCAGCAGTTATTCGAGTACCGTGTTATAAGGAGATTACTGTATAGAATAAAAAAACTATGAATGTATAATACTGTATTTATTAAATACAATTATAAAGTATTAACATATTGTGTTTGTACATTATTTACATGTCCTTATTTACATTTACATATGTGTTTGTTACAAATATAAAATGCCTGCCAAATATTACAAACATACAGCACATGTCTCCGTATAATGTCTGTATACATATACAATATTATATAGTCTGTTTCTTAATCCCGGAGACTAAATTGACAGGTGCAAATGTCAAAGTTTCAAATAATGTTACCACCTACAGCGCGGTAGTGGTGTACCTGCGATACCGATTTGTTTAATCGGAAACTTTTATTTTAACATCAGTTTTAAAGCTTTAAATGACCTTTCCACAACAGAATTTTAAAATTTACATATACTAGTGTTTCCATTATATATACAACATAAAAATACATTTTTATCAGTACTAAGCTACAAACCAATATTTTTTTTCTTACAAGCAGTTAAATATTTCTATGGGTTTTTGTTTTATGATATATGACACTAGAAAGGTAATTTGTTGTAGAAAAAATGAACTAGTAGTTTATTTTAGTGATTATATATATATATTAATACCTATACTTTATTAATTTTGTGTTAATGCGTTTTAAATAAACACCCACACATTATTTCTGATTAACCTATAAAAATGGGCAATTAATATTAAATTCCGATAGTGCCACAACCCTATTTAAACAATGCAAAACCCTGGCAACATCTGAATCGTCAAATTTGTCTCCGGGATTAAAAAACAGACTACAGGTGAAAGTTTTGAAAGCGATACACTCGCAACGGTCGATTTTTATAAATTCTGTAGTATTAAAATAACTTTTATATTTCCGTTGTATAATAGCCTATTGCTGGGACTAAACCAGTCAGGCTCTGTACACACATAGTCCTTATGATAACACGTCCATTACATCCAATTCAAAAATTCAAATTCAAATTTGAATCAAATCATTTAGTATATTTAAACGTTGAATGTATAAATAAATGCTTCACTATAAACTAATACAAAATAAATCTGACACAAACACAAATAGCATCTAAAAAAATTATATAAATATGTAGTATATTCAGTACATAGCCCGCGAGCCAGGAACTGGTCAAAGTGACTAATTTCCTCCCGGTCCAAAACTTCTAGAAAGGTAAGAAAGTTGTGTTATGAAGCTTAGTGAAAGTCAGCTGCAGTCGAGGGTTGAAGTGTTCAAACTGCTATCAAGTATAGATTCAAGATAAAAATCAGTCAGCTGGTTGTAGCGTCATTTATTATATATTAGTTGACAGCAAAAACATGTAAAAGAAACAATATTCTTAACCATCTTAGAAGTTTCGACCGGGAGGAAATAATTGACGAAAATTGCTTCTGGCTCGCGGACTATTACTTCCTTTTCAGAAATGGCCAACGAAACCAATGGTCTAACATATGCATGTGATCGAATAAGACAGAGACAGCAATTGAAATGTAGATAAAAGCCGTTAGTTTTTTTAGTTACGTCGTTGGTACAATCTGAGGCGTTGTCAAATTGGTCTTAAATGAAATACTTGACATAGCTACCACTTACATTGTTATACCTAGGCCTAAAGTCGCGTACAACAAACTTTCTTTACATTCCATTCAATTAAAAAAAATCTACATCATTTTAATTAGCTTGGGGAGACGCCGAACGTTGCTTTCAAATTTGATTAAAATTATAATTTTTGAAAAATATATATAACCGTTTACATATATTAAAACTTGATTAAAAAATAAACCCTCCTATACAAAAACACTCCAAGTATTATATAAACTCTAGTTGCTATCGAATTACTTATATATTATCAACAGTGAATTCATCCCCACACGCTGGAACCTAAGTGGTCTCGGACAGTGCGGTTTCAGAGGGGCTTCCTTCCGCGTACACTTGCATTGTGGAATGAACTGCCTGCCGAGGTTTTCTCGTGAGACTACAGCATGGGGTTTTACAAGAAGGGTTTATTAAGGGTCCGCAACGCGCATGTGACACCCCTGGTGTTTCAGGCGTCCATAGTAACCATTTACCATCAGATGGACCGTATGCTTGTTTACCACCATAGTAGTATAAAAAGAAATACTCTGATGTTATGCGTAGCAGGCCCTTATGCCTTCTCCGAACGTAAATTAAGGCGTGGCTCAGTTCGACGTAATTTCAATCCCCGTTAGTTAGTAAAGGGGGACTGTAGTATGTGGGAAAGAGAAGGAAGCATTATGTCATCTCTATCGCACACTGCTGGCGTCATGTGACCATTAGGCTGTAAACCACGAGTGAGAGCGGTGGTGTGTTTGACACCCGTTAATTGGCAAGACAAACTGTACAGTGACGATTTGAGAAGGACAAAACACTGTCCCAGATAAGATGGTTTGCAGGTTTTTGTTTTTATGAATAGGAAGGTAAATTTAAATTTATAATTCAGTATAGTTTTCCAATACTTAGTGGATTTTGACACACTTCTCTAGACATGAGGCTGATGCTATTTTTTTATTTTATTTGGGGGTTTGGGCTCTTGTCAGCTGCTAATACCTGTAAACACTGCTACCTGTATAGATCTATTGTGCTCGCACTTATTCAAAGTTCGCTGCCTAGACCCGTGAGGGACAAGAATTGAAGGATATTCTTAGGAGCGATGGTTTTGGCTGAGGCTACTGCTAACTCAAGCAATTATATCTCAAATTGTATATAATATGTATATCTCTTCACTATAAAGTCTAGCCGACAGAAACCGAGTACGTTTCAGTAACAGTACGCAGTTACATGTAATTAAAAAAAGCACACGAGGAATATCTCAATATAAAATGCATCTATTACTAAAATAATAGTCTAAAAACCAACCACAGACAAATAAGTAAACAGAGTTTAATTTCAGGACATATATTGTCAGAGCTTTCAAATATTTTAGTGGTAAATGTCACTATTTCCAACCGAAACGTAGCTTACAAAAAAGAGCTTTCCGGCTGACTGAAATACACAAACTTTGCACAAAGTATGATAAGACGTTTACAGTTTCTATGAATACAGGATATCCATGTATAGAAACAGTTATTTTGACAGTTCAAATAAAACTTGTTAGCATGCTAGAAGCATGCTCATAGATATATTTATTTATTTATAACTATTATACCTGTATCTAGTAATTCATACGTAACGTATACATGTATAGCTAACATCATTCTATCCGCACAATTCTGGGCGAGTTCAGTCTCCTTTCTTGTCGTAATTTCACCACCTCCGATTTCACTATCCTGTAACAAACAATGTTGGATATAAACCATCTACTGTCCGCTGGGCACATCCTTGTTAATCTAGAAAATGACTCACTCCACTACGGAATGCAATCAATAAAAAATTGTGTAATTGAACCAACCATTGTGGAAGGAAATAACATCTGTAACACAGAGATTCCCTAGCACAGATGTTACGGCCTATAAATTAGTGATGTTGTGTAAAAATGAATCAATATACTATTATTAATTAAAAAATAAAAAAAACCCTGTTTTTTAACAAGGTATTAACCTTTCGTGTGCTTTCATAGATAAAACTGTTTCTTATATAAAACTTTCATAGATAGAGCTTATTGATACATAGCTTGTAAAATGAAATGATTTTATTTTGCGAGACATGTGGTGTGCACAGATGTTATAAAGTGGATACATAATATGATTCCATACAATCCGTCTTATATGAAGACATGCAAAATTTTATATTAGTTGTGTTTCTGTAAATAATTACACAATTCTGTCTTTCAGATAGCATATTACATTATTATATCATACAACTTAAAAAAAATATTATATCTATATTATTATTTAGTCATTATATGTCAATATTATTACTGTTATGTCATTACTATTATATTGTGTTCGGATTTATCCCGGATTTAGTTGGGCCTGGGGGGAAGCTGCAAGTAGTGAAGGTGAGTGTTAATGCATTCTAAAAGGGCCTTTTAAACCTACACCCGTGTCACAAGTCACGGGCGCTACTTGGGGTTTCTCTTCCGGCAGCCGGCATCGAAGCCCAAAACATCTTTATAACTAGTGGTTCTGGCAGTACTCACCTGAGCAGCAACAGTAGCGCGAGGATGTTGCACGCGATCAGCATGTAGAACACGTGCGACCACGACCCGCTCGTCGAAACCACGCCCGCCAACATTGGACCTATCGCCGCGCCTGCCACACACGTCACAAACGTCACACTCCTCACACTCACCGAGTACCAATGTCGACAGGAGAGAAAGTGTTGGTAATGTGGACTGATCATCCCCATTGCTAACAATGTACCGAGTAAGGTCTCCTCCACGCGGTTCCCCCTCGAAACCATTGTGTTAAAGAAAGAAAGAAATAAACTTTATTCAAATAAACTCATTACAAGCACTTTTGAATAGTCAGATTTTGATTCTACCACTCATTCGGAATGTAGATTCATCACAAGAAGAATGAGCAAGAAACTTGTGTGTGGCTCTTTTTAATAGATGTTTTTTTTTATATAAATAATTACAGTGTAAGAGGCATGCGATAATCAACATAGAAATCGCTACGCACTCATTATTAGTGTAATCAGATAATATTGCGAGTGCTATGGATTTTAAGTTTTTCTATAAAAACATTATTATCGTTAACGAATTCTTCAATTTTATAGTAAGCTTTTTTTGCAAAGGAACTGTTTTATTTGACATTTAAATCTTTTTTCTGGCAGATTTATAACAGACTCTGGTATTTTGTTATAAAACCTGACGCAATTGCCATAAAACGAATTACTAACGTTAGTTGAACGACATTTAGGTAAAATCAGTTTGTTATTGTTAAGTAAGCTTTTATTGGTGCAATCACTAACTCTTTTGAAACTGTCTATATTCTTCCTGGCATACTTGATATTTTCATAAATATATTGAGAAGGTAGAAGTTAAAATGTTAGGAGATTGCCACGATGTATCCGTCATACTCGTGACCGTGTGCTGCTTGTGGGGACTGGTCTGTTCTGGTTACAAACACTGTTTAGACTATTTGCTTTAGCAATAACATATGCTGGTGGTCACTCTATTCTCCCAAATTTGAATTTATAAAACATCTGTTTTATTGTAAACATGTACAACATTTATTTGAACAGAATACGAGCTGAGTTTCTTGTCAGTTCTTCTCATCTCGAAATCATTTCGAACTGACGATAGATTTGACATATCATAAGAGTCTATAATAAAGCTATATGAATAAAGATATTTTGAATGAAGTAGATGTAGGGGTAGAATACACAGCGGCAGTAAATATACTGAAATATGAAAGTAAAATATATATATTTGGTAAAGTAACAAGGCTCACATACGATATGTCAATAGAAAATCTTACGAACAATAGAATACATTTTCTTTATATAATAATAATAATGCTATTAGGTATGTTGTATTTCAAATTTGTATAATAAAGGTATGTTGCCATCTCCTCTCCTTAAGAGGGGAGATGCGAATTTTTGGGAAAAAAAAATAAATAATAATAATATCAGGACAATTCACACAGCGCCATCTAGACCCAAGTTAAGCTAGCTAGAGCTTGTGTTATGGGCACTAGACAACTGGATAACTGATACATATACATAGATATTTTTTTTTTTGTAAATACATACATATTATACATAGAAAACACCCAGACCGATACAAACAATCATACTCATGGATACAAATGTTTGTGCCGTGCGAGGAATCGAACCCGCGACCATCGGTCGTAAAGCGGTGTGCTAGACCGCTAGACCACCGAGGTCGTCAAATATATAAATTATATAAAATTCAAATTGTCTTCTACAGAATAACGGGCAGATATAAATTTAAGTCCAACAGTAGGCACTCACCGACGCTGCCGGTGCCGTCGATGATGGCGGTGACAGTAGCCAGCGCCTGCGAGTTCCCCGCCAGGCTGCTATGCGTGCCTGGTAAATTATAACAGTTAGACTTCTCATTACCAGACAAGGTCCAGCGGCGGCGGCCTCGTATAAAGTTTATTCTGTTTGTACATATTCTAGAAGCTTTATACTGCAAGAACTTGCAGTTAGAATAATGAGATATGGCTGTGTAATTGCAGGATTGATAGTAATCATATATTTTTTAATCAATTAGTCGTATATACGTATAATTAGTAAAAATCACGGGATCTTACCACGTTTTATATTTATTTGCTGAGTTCCCGATATTTCGGTAGTGTTTCAACCACCATGATCACGGGTAAACTGTTTATGTGTAAATGTGGTAAGATCCAGTGATTTTTACTAATTATACGTATAAATAATGACCGCGTCAAGTTTAAAACAATTAGTCGGATGTAGATTATTGTAGATGTTAAAGATTTTGATGACGTAGATGATGACGTTGTAGACGAGGATGATATTGCTCTCGATTGCTCTTGACTACTAAGTCACGACTGCTCTTGCTATGAGGAGAATTTTACTGATAATGATACTAATCATATAGGTCAGTCGGTGTCGCCGTAATATATACAGGGTAGTGAGTACGTTACCGAGCTCGGCGCTGACGGCGGTGGTGATGAGGGCGTAGGGTGCGTTGACCAGCGCGCCCACCAACACCAGCAGCGCCACGTTCAGCCCGTACTGCGACGCGCCCCACCGACTGTACGCCACCAGCTGCGTCGGACGACAACTCACATTCAAGCCACATTATCACAGATTTGTCAGGGACATTCTGATACCAGTCTGGATACATATCTCCCACATTTAAGTATCCAACATTCGCCGAGACCGATAACGGCTATTTAAACTGTGTTTTATTTATATAGAACATTTATAAATTCTATATGCGCAATATTTTAAGGTAAACAGGAAATTAGTAGAGAATATATAAAAGCTCGTTTCTAACTATATTCTAATGAATTAACATACTTTACTTAATATAAAATATATAGTTTACTTAATATAAAATACTTCAATTTAAACATACAATGAGAGTTCACTGCATTCATTGTATATTAATAATTCTTCGGCATATTTATGCTACTACATATATAATTTAATTTACCGTTTACCATCAGATGGACCGTATGCTTGTTTGCCACCTAAGTGGTATAAAAAAAAATTAATAAAGAGCAATCGTTACTAATCAGAACTGGTAGCTAAAGGGCTTCAATGGAAGTTTCTATTGTATAAGAAATAAGTTTTTAAATAGCGATCGTCTCCGTCCAATTCAAACGGTGATCGAAATTACGACGGCCCGAGTCGAGGTTCGAACCCCTAGCGGTGCCCTAGACTATAGTCGTATCCGTCGGGCAGGAGTCGGCCTTCGGCCGCTCCATAAGTCCTTCCTTTGGTTTGGAGTGCACCTGCACTCGCCCGCTATCGTCCGGTGAAGCTGTAAGGCCAGCTGCGGCCGACAGCGATAGAGTATGGAGTACTGACTGCGGGCGCTCCGAGGGCGTAGAAGGCCGCGCAGACGAGCCCGGGCGCCCCCAGCCGGTCGGCCAGCAGCCCCGCCGCCACCGCGCCCGCCGCCCCGCCCGCGTCGAACACCGTGCTCAGCCGGCCAGCCTGCTGCGGCGTCAGCCGCGCTGCACGCGACACATTTTATTTATCACTAACGACCGGGAACGTCCGCGCCTTCCTCCGCCTGGATTTTGTTTTACTTCACTAAAATAAAACTAGAGCAAGTCACTCGTTACTACATCGGCTACCTGCCAGAAAACTCCCGTCAGAATCGGTCCGGCCATTTTAGAGATCAGCCGGAACAAACAGACCGACAGACAGACAGATAAAAATTGTAAAAAATGTTATTTTGGTGTATGTACCGTATTTATTTTGTAGTAGCTCGTATGGGATGAAGAGAGACCACTAATTTAGTAGTATCCGTGGATTCCTTTATTTGGAATAATTTACAACTTATGTGCGTAAAATCATGTCATTAGTATACTATACAAACAGGTGATTCCATTCATGGAGTGAGAAGGCAATGCTAGTGCGCACCGGGTTTATAAGTAAGGCGATCGCGTTGCGTCGGCAGTTGGCGCGTAGCTGTATTACACTAATCATGTGTGCTGCTACATATTCATATGCAAGTAGTAAAAAACGGTTATTTCAATATTACAAACAGACACTCCAATTTTATTTATATGTATAAATAATGGAGCGGTGCACCCGTCTGCACTATCAGTTTACGCAAGTGGAGCACCAGTGGAGTGGACAATAACCTGAGCGCGAAGTCGGGTCGGTCCATCGCGACAATCCACCACCCGATGGAAACATTACCGACGCATCATCACATATCACAATGGTATCAGCATTACGACCATTACGTCGAAAGAACCGCTATACCCTCCATGCATTATCATTGGAGAACTGAGATGTGACGCCTCGATACCCTGTAATTTGGCTACCATATCTCACCCTTTAACCGAATGACAACTTACATAGCACGAAGGTTGGTGACAGAATACGTACAGTATTGTGCGCATGTGTAATACGTGCGGTGAAAATTTGAAATTAATTAATCAAATACAATAATTAATTAAATTAATGATTAATAATAAAAATAGTAATAATAATCATTTCAAATTTGATTATGATTAATCGTTAATCAAACTTTTGATTATGTATTTTAATAATAATAATAATAATAATATTTATTTACTGCTGACAAGGAAACTTACAATATTGAACAAAGTAACAAAAGTATGTATTTAATCTTACAAGCTAGTCCTTGTGAGAGTCTGGAGTCTGAACTAAGTCGAAACCTATGTATTTTAATCATTACTTTCAATCTTCGATGACATTAACTTTCAGCATACACTACTTCCGAATGGTATACTCACTGGAGGAATTGATGTAGACGGGCAGCCAGTAGAGGAAGGTGTAGCTGACCAGCTTGGCAAAGAACAGCGACAGAGAAAACTCCACCACCCCGGGGATGGCCAGCGCCCGAGAGAACGACACGGCGGAGGATGTGCCCGACGGACGCCGCAACAGCGCCGTGCTCTCTGATACCTCCTCGGGCTCCGGCGGGTGCTGCGGATCATATACCCATACCTAAATACTACCAACTAGCCTTAAACCTATTCTAGGTCTGGTATATAGATCGAGAAAGTATCTTACACGCACAAACAGGAGCATGGGTAGAATTTATCAAAATTCTTTCTTAGGGGATGCCTACGTCATAACATCGCGTGTTTTTACCTGCATGCTTACAAACAGCGCGCGTTTCAGATCCGATCCGTCCAGTGGTTTGGGCTGTGCGCGCGATAGATCACTATGTCACACACGCAAACAGGAACGCGCGTCAGTCACCTTTAAGTTATATATATTTAGAGCAATCTTATCTAATATTTGTGATCACGTGTGATTTTGTACAGTGTGTAGGTTTAACCTACACACGTAAAATTCTCGTGTCACAGTTTTCGTTCCCATACTCCTCCGAAACGGCTTGACCGATTCTCATGAAATTTTGTGAGCGTATTGAGTAGGTCTGAGAATCGGCCAATAACAAAAATAGATTTTCATCCCCCTAAATGTTAGGGGTAGTCCACCCCTAAATTTTTATTTTTATTTTAAGGCAAAACAACGTTTGCCGGGACAGCTAGTAACTTTATAATTATCCCTCCGCCATTTTGCAATGACAATCAATTATTACAAAATGGCGCTAAAGCACGCACGATTGTTGTACGCGGGAATGCGCTCAGTTTGCGCGCGCGGTGTTACTCGTTCTCTTTGTCTACATATACATGCATATTTTTTCTTGCGTAAAAGTCGATTTGTACGAGCTAGCATCGTACATTATTTCGCAACATTAACATTTTATTTTACATTTCACATTTCATTAAAATCAGTTCCCATTCGGTCATCAAGGACGCCGCGCGTACTCATTACAATCATTAATCAGTTATATTTTAAGTTTCAATATACAGTTTTAATCAAGTTTCTATCAGTATCATTTATCAGTTTTACCTATCAGAATCTTTATAGTTTCGGTACAACCCGAACATGATTCATGCGTGAAAGAATGAAGTGTAAAGTTCAATGGTTAACTTTACACTTAATCTTTCACGCGTGAATCGACTTTTAATATGTAGATAAAGTTTATGTACTGGATGATTGTGTTTTTTGCGTAAAAGCCGATTCTCGTGTAAAGTAATATTTTTCTGTATCTGTCCTGCAATCAGTAGACGACTATGAACAGATGTGGTATAGCTGTTATGGCGCGGGTAGAGAGTGATTCCCAGCGGAATCATAATTTCTTTTGGTGGTCCTGATTAATCATCAGGTTCCAGTAGCCTACACCTTTTAAGCCGATGTATATATCAGGGACTGTCAGTCGGTTGGCCAGCACAATAGGATGGTTCACTAGCCGTGTCTTGTACTTGGAGTAGTGGTGTTTTATCTCTTCGGCTACTGTGCTTGTGTTGAGATAATCATGAACCTCAGATATTTTTGCAAAGCATGGTGCATTTCTAAGCTGTTTCAAATTGTTATTGTTGTAACTAAACACTAGCGCCATCTGTGCAGGCGTTTAAACAAACACCAACCTACTCTGTTCCGTCTCTCTGGAATATTCTACTCTGTGTGTCTTTTTCTTTCTATTACTTACTGCGACATGTGTACTATTTCTAATTAATAAACTATATTTGTAAATTGCTGTTTTCTGTTATAAAATACAATATAGTTATATTGAGCCCTTTTTATTATGTTTATGTCGGAATTCAAATTCAAAAATCATTTATTCATGTAGGACATTTTAGCCGCTTATGAACGTCAAGTTTTTACATTATAATTTTTTTCCCTACCGTCCAGTTCGGTATATAGATCCAATTGAGAAGAACTGGCAAGAAACTCAATTGAATTACTTTTTTTTTAATCCAGTTTATTGACAATGCATAGGTGCCAAATGGGTTTCAATACAGAGTTGTAGAGTATTTGTTAAAAGAAAAGTCAAATCAAATTAATTGTAGAGGCGATGTGTGCACTCACCAGTGGCGCGTTAGCGGAGTGCCGGTTAGGTCTCAGGTTCGCTGCCTGCAACAGACACACACACACACAATGTCACACAGTACTAGTAAGGTCAGTGACCACCACTGACGTCATATACATGTGGCCGCTAATGTTACCAGTTTAAAGGAAGACGTTAGAAAAATTATTAATAAAACATACTAAAATCATCCTTGCTAATATTATAAGTGTGTAAGTAGGTATGTTTGTTACTCTTTCACACAAAAACTACTGAACCGATTTACATGAAATTTTGCACACATGTTCTTGAAGGTATTATCTACTACTATATATACACATAACTTCACTTTTTATACTAATTTGTCTATTAAAAAGTATATATAAAAAAAAAAAGAAGAAACAGATACAATATTTAAGTCTCAATATAACATTATGTCACTGCTGTCCTTACTAGGTCATTATAATGACCTGTATGAAGGAAAAGTATTAGAGTATTAGAATGAACATAGTATATTTTTTATTAAAAAAAAAAACAATTATTTATTTATAAAATATCAACATTTTGCTACTTCAGCGCCATCTAGCAGCCAGTAGTGAAGTTATGCGACCAAAGCCGCGGGTAAAAGCTAGTAAAACCAAAACCAAGTTATAACTTTTGCAGTGTCTAATTACTAAAGTTGTACCGTTCCATCAGAACTGTAATAAATTTTATATTTGTATGCATCGATTCGTTCTTTAACATCGACAACAACAAAACCATCGAGTTATAACTTTTGAACAGTGTCTAATTACTAAAGTTTTACCGTTCCATCAGAACTATAATAAAATTTATATTTGTAATCAGCATATAAAAATAAATATTGAATTCCTATTTTTGTTTATATTAAATTTAATACCAATCACTCAAAATGGTCTTTGGAACATCGACAACAACAACAAAAGGTCAAAATCAAATTGCTTAAGAGTACCATAACTGAGATCAAGAAGAGACGTGAAAATGTTAACCACATCAAGCCAAAGGGTAAACCGCCGGGTCGTAAACCACCACTAACGGAACGCCAATTCAAACAACTGGAAACTATGGTTAATAACCCAAACCCTCCGACACAACAAGCGATGGCCGATATCTTGAAAGTGAAGAGACATGTTGTGAGGTATCAAATAGACAAAAAACTTAATAAAAAGTTGGCCCAAAAACCGAAAGTACAAGCATTGAGTCCGGGTTCGGTGCAAAAGAGATTTGCCGTTCTTGGCCTATGTATATGAAATTGAGATGTAATCGTTGGAAAAAGTTCATCACTACTGATGAAGCATGGTTTTACCTTGCTAACCGTAATCGTCAAACACGTGTCCAGTACAAATCCAGAGGACAAACTCGCAAAGACCTAGACGTATACCAACAACAGTCACATCCTAAGGGTGTTATGGTATGGTTGGGCATTTCGGCAAATGGCTGTACTTCTCTCAGATTTGTGACACCCGGTGCAAAGATCAATACAGACTACTACATAAAGAAGATCTTAAAGCCATTTATTCGACACGATATACCAAAGTTGTACCCAAATAAGGAATGTGTCTTCCATCAAGACTCAGCCCCAAGTCATATGTCAAAAAAGACCCAAAAGTTCCTTAAGACAAGCAGAATTAATTCCATCTCATCAATGGCTACCAAACAGTCCTGATTGTGCTCCTATGGACTACTTTTTTTGGGGATATCTGAAGAGGCGAATGAACAAGCGAAAAGTCAAAAAAAAAGACTTTACGGGAAGAGGTCAAGAAAATCCCACAAATAACGATCAACCGAGCTTTAAAGGCATGGCCAAGAAGATGCCGTATGATCTACTATAATAAAGGCTTTCATATTGAAAAACATAATTAAAATTTCTTTTAAAGTAATAAAGTTATTTAACTTTGAATTCGTTCGAATGCAAAGTATCAATGCCTGTACAGCATGGGGTTTTTCAAGAAGGGTAAATTAAGGTTGTTTACGTGACACCCCTAGTGTTTCAGCGTCAGTCGCGTCACAGTGTACGGTACCATTTACCATCAGATTGGCCGTATGCCTGTTTGCCACCATAGTAGTATAAAAAAAACAGAAACTGAGAACCACAGTCAAAAACTTACATCAAAATCAAAAATCAGGGATACTTTTTTTTTCTGATATTGTACAATACATTAATGATTATAAATTGACGTTTATCATTACATAGTATAAAACAAAGTCGCTGTCGCTGTCTGTCCGTCCCTATGTATACTTAAATCTTTAAAACTACGCAACGAATTATGAAGCGGTTTCTTTAAATAGAATGATTCTAGAGGAAGGTTTATATGTATAATACATCGTCGGTTAAATAGAAAAATGTCAGTATTCAAAATGTAATTCTTTTTTACAAGACAAGCATTTAAAGTTTTTTTAAATTTCCTTTAAAGTTTTAACAAAAATTTATACAGACAGTATTATATATAATTTTAAAAGAATTTAGATAATGATTAAGATGGTGTGGTTAATTTAATTGATTTATATAAAAGGAGGCAATTCTAGATTCTAATTATGAAAAATGACTTTTTTCTATATACTCCTCGACATGTACACCCGGGCGAAGCCGGGGCGAGTAGCTAGTTAAATATCATCCCAAAGAGAGGCCCGAGTCCAATAGTGGGATCATGGGTTGAAAGTGAGTTTATATACAAGCTTAGCTTAAGTTAGTGACAGACAATGATAATCTGCGAGGTGGTACCTGGTCACCAACGATCACTTGGGGCTGCTCCTCCTCGTCGTCAGAGCGAGACGGCCGCGGCTGGGAACATATATTTTAATTATAATAATAATAATAATAATCTCAGGACAATTCACACAGCGCCATCTAGACCCAAGTTAAGCTAGCTGAAGCTTGTGTTATGGGTACTAGATAATTGATACAAATACATAGATATTTTTTCGTAAATACATACATATTATACATAGAAAACACCCAGACCGATACAAACAATCATATTCATGAATACAAATGTTTGTGCCGTGCGAGGAATCGAACCCGCGACCATCAGTAGTAAGACGCTGTGCTAAATCGCTAGACCACCGAGGCCGTCAAATTATGACAACATTTAGATCAGTGATTCCCAAAGTGGTCTATATGGACCCCTGGGGGTCTATGACAAACTGCAAGGGGTCAACGACAGCGGTGATCTTGTTTTTAAACAAAGTTTATTTTTCTAAAATAAAAGTAGCCTAAGTTACTCCTCATTACATCAGCTACCTGCTAAAAAAAAGTCCAATCAAAATCGGTACAGCCATTTCAGAGATTAGCCTGAACAAACAGACAGACAAAAATTGTAATAAATGTTATTTTGGTGTATGCACCGTATTTATTTATTTATTTAACTTTAATGCACAAAAACAATGTGTACATATGGCGGACTTAATACCTTGTGGCGTTATCTACCAGGCAACCATGAGTGGTGCAGAGAAAGATTAATTTATATTCATATGCATGTAGTACAAGACACTCCAATTTTATTTATTTATATATATATATATATATATATATTGTTTACGCCGAAACGTAACATTATTTAATTTTACCTATACTTTCCTTACGCAGCGATAGTTCGACCAATACTCTATTTCACTCACACGCAGCCGCGCATCTCGTTCATTCATTTTTAACTACCAATATAATAGAAACATAAGCGCGCGTTTTAATTTGCATATCTGTCTCACTCACGCATACTCATCTCATATATGTCCTTCCTTGTCCTACTTCCTGAAACTATGTAACGTGTCAAAGGACAAGAAGAAATAGAAAGACGACTTCCGTCCAGTTAGTTCAAGTTCACCGCCGGCCGCCATCGCTAACGCTGCTCAATTTCTATCCGTCCAAAACTATTATACAATAAACCGCATAAAGTGAGAATAAATCTGTAATGTGTTGTGTCTGTTGATCAAGAAGTTTTAAGAAAAACATAAAAATATTAGTCTTAGTGAATAGAAAAGAGAACCAGCGCCGAGAATCATCGGGAGAAGTCGAAGAAAGAATTCACCGGTGAGCTCCTTTGTCCTTTCTACCTATTCACTCCATATTTATATATATAAAAAATAGGGTTGTCACAACGCAACTCAGGGCGCCACCTCAGCCCTAGTTTCCGGGTATAGACTTTGTCTGTATAAAGTTGTCGATGCGCGTACCTCTGCAGTGGCTGTGGCCACGATGCCCACGGAGCGAGGCTCCGGCGGCAGGAACAGGAACACCAGCAGCCCCACCGCGCCCATCACCAGCGCCGGGTACACGAACGACAGCGCCCAGTCCGACTCCACGAACGACGCCGCCATTATTGTACCTGAACATGACCACACTCAGGCCTCAGTACATAAGGATACTCAAATGTCTGATACTCTAATGAAATGAAATAATAATAATAATAATCTCAGTACAATTCACACAGCGCCATCTAGACCCAAGTTAAGCTAGAAAGAATAAAGAAAGAAAGAAAAAAGTAAAATTTCTTCTTTCTTTTTCTAAGTTAAGCTAGCTAAAGCTTGTGTTATGGGTACTAGACAACATTTTTTTTTCGTAAATACATACATATTATACATAGAAAACACGCAGACCGATGCAAACAATCATACTCATGAATACAAATGTTTGTGCCGTGCGAGGAATCGAACCCGCGACCATCGGACGTAAAGCGGTGTGCTAGACCGCTAGACCACCGAGGTCGTCAATGAAATGAAATAATATTTATTCAGTAGAAGAAAAAACTAAAACAAACAAAAAGAAACGCTGCAACAATTACAAAAAAAAATACACAAATTACGTGTGTATGTTTGTCGAAGCATCTACAGAATAGGTCCGAGCTCAGCACAATGCTGCAGCGGCTGGAGCGCTGCAACGCTGTTATTCAGCACGAGACCTGGGGTGGTGTATTGCCGTGTACACGATTTATGATATGATATACTAAATATATAATAAATTTTCATATAAATTCATATTTTATTCTCCAAGCGACTATCGCCGTATAAATCCATTGAGATTTCATCATCATCCACGAGTCGCGTCGCCGACGTGTACGAACCTCTATGGATATGGAGAATAAAATCGTAGAGTATCAAAGATTTGAGTAGTCTTGTGTACGAAGGGCCTTACCGTTCAACCAGAGTAGGGGACGAAAAGAACTGGGATCATCATCTGGACTCCCCCACCCGGCCCCCTACTGGGAGGTAGCCTACCCCAGTTTACCCCAGCAGAATTCTGCTCGGATAGTCTACCCCAGCAGAATGCCCAGGCAAGGAGCTTATATTCCAGGCCTGAACCCTACAGTCCGGGGGGGAAGGGGATTGTTAGTAATGTGGATTGATAACCCTATTGCTAGCAATGTACCTTATCAGGTTGACCTCCACGCGGTTCCCCCTGGAAACCATCGTGTTAAATTCCTGGTGAATTTGTCACGATGGGCTAACTGACCTGACCTCATCCTCATCTTATCATCCCCCACTGGTGCCCCGCCTGCGTAAATCGTCAGCGCAGGCGGGTGCACCATTCCATTATCATCCACAAAAAAACCCTTCAGTCCGTAAGGACCTGCGGACGACCAGGAAGGGGTACAAGAATAAGTTACGTGCTCACCAAGTATGTTCCCAATGGAGGTGTGGGAGTTCCACACTCCGAATATGAGGCCTTTCTTGCCGTTTCCGAACCACTTGCCGACGATGGCGACGGTGCCTGGCCAGCCAGTCGTCTGCGCGATGCCAGCACCCGCCTACATTATGAGAGAACCAGGGAAACGTAGTATTAGTCTTACTTTGATTATATAAGCCTTTTGACAGCCTCGGTGGTCTAGTGGTTTAGCATACCGCTTTACTATCCGATGGTCGCGGGTTCGATTCCTCGCCCGGTACAAACATTTGTATTCATGAGTATGATTGTTTGTATCTGTCTGGGTGTTTTCTATGTATAATATGTATGTATTTACGAAAAAACAAATTATCTATGTACTTGTATCAGTTATCTAGTACCCGTAACATTCTATATATAATGTATTTATTTAGAAAAAAAAATGTATCCATGTATTTATATCAGTTGTCTAGTACTCATAACGCAAGCTCTGCTTAGCTTGGGACTAGATGGCGCTGTGTGAATTGTCCTGAGATATTATTATTATTATAATAGCAGAAATGAAGAAATAACAATCTTACTTGACAAGAATTCTTGATGTAGAAATTTATTTAGAATTTTCTGCTTCAAGAATAATTCTTTAATTAAAGCATTTTTGAATATTCATTTTGATTTTTTTAATGTAACACAATTTTCTTTAATGTAATTCGATAACTGTAATGATACAGTTTTAGAAGTTTACAGAAGATTACAGTGTAAGAAGAATTAGCAAGAACCTTGAGTGTAGCTCTATTCAATTATTACACGAATTGCTTTACTTTACATTTTAAAGTTAAAATGAGTGAAGTACAATTTGCCAACTAGTACTAATTTATTAAAATCAAAACATCATCAGTACATATGTAAGGAAGCACTAATTAAATGGTGACAACCTAGGCTTTGAAGCCGGCTGCCGGAAGAGAAACCCCAAGTAGCGCCCGTGACTTGTGACACGGGTGTAGGTTTAAAAGGCCCTTTTAGAATGCATTAACACTCACCTTCACTACTTGCAGCTTCCCCCAGGCCCAAGTAAGTCCGGGATAAACCCATTCCTAATACAATTCACTTTAGTATCCAAAACACAACCGGCACGCTCTGCGCTCGTCGACTGAATGCCGCGGCTCACCCAACCAAAGAGGATTATTCAACTACCGACCTCCGTATTTATAGACCAAAGTCAGTGTAGTAGGTTGGTCTATAAATACTAGATGGCGCTATTTACAATATTCGTAATAATCCTTACATCGGGTACTTAATTAGTACTAAACACAAACTACCTTCTTTTAATATCTTTTTAAAATATCGGATCTTTTTCTACAATATTGATGTGAACTCTAACACAGTATAAAACAAAGTGGATGTCGCTGTCCGTCCGTATGTTTGCTTAAATCTTTAAAACTACGCAACGGATTTTGTAATAGGTAGAGTGATTCAAGAGGAAGGTTTATATGTATAATACATGTACACCCGTGCGAAGCCGGGGCGAGTAGCTAGTTAAATATATAATCAACTGGTTGAGTACTTAGTTACTTAGATAAAAATAAATCAGTGGTAATCATTAGAATAGAATAGAATAGAATAGAAAATCATTTATTCAAATAAACTTAATTTAAGCACTTTTGAATAGTCATAACAATTTGTTTTTTATCTACCACTCGTTCGGAAAGCTGTCTCATCACAAGAAGAACGAGCAAGAAACTTGTGTGTTGCTCTTTTAAATAATCCTTGTAAGTTTACATTTACAAGTCGAAACGTGTGAATACAAACTACCAACAAGCACTAATTTTTTGGGTCAAATATAATCTTGCAATAAGATTAAATCAGTCGTAGTGATAAGAGCAGACCAGTCCCTACAAGCAGCACTCGTTCACGAGTATGACGGATGAGCCAGCCATCACTGCGCTCGATTATATTTTAGCCCTAAAACTATATATATTGTAATAATAATAATAAGAATCTCAGGACAATTCACACAGCGCCATCTAGTCCCAAATTAAGTTAGCTAAAGCTTGTGTTACGGGTACTAGATAACTGATACATATATATAGATAATTTCTTTTTTGTAAATACATATATTATACATAGAAAACACCCAGACCGATACAAACAATCATAATCATGAATACAAATGTTTGTACCGTGCGAGGAATCGAACCCGCGACCATCGGACGTAAAGCGGCGTGCTAGACCGCTGGACCACCGAGGTCATAATACCTAAATCGATTATAAATTGAAACTATTCTTTCGTGTGTAATAATAGTTCTTACCTGAACTAACAGGTAGTATGATATATTGTGTATGCCGTAGGTGCGGGCGATTCCGAACAGGTAGCAGAAGATGGCAGAAAACAGCATGCCCAGCGTGAGGAAGTAGCGCAGGTCCACACGCTCCGCTACCATCCCTGGGGAGAGACGGGCCGAGACGACATCATCATTACATAGTATAAAACAAAGTCGCTGTCGCTGTCCGTCCCTATGTATGCTTAAATCTTTAAAACTACGCAACGGATTTTGATGCGGTTTTTTTTATAGATAGAGTGATTGTAGAGGAAGGTTTATATGTATAACTAGCTGTTCCCGCGACTTCGTCCGCGTGGAATTTAACTTTATTTTTCTAAAATAAAAGTAGCCTAAGTTACTCCCTATTACATCAGCAACCTGCTAAAAGAAGACCAGTCAAAATAGGTCCAGTCATTTCAGAGATTAGCTGGAACAAACAGACCGACAGACAGACAGACAAAAATTGTAACAAATGTTATTTTGGTGTATGTACCGTATTTATATTCATATGCATGTAGTAAAAAACGGTTATTTCAATATTACAAACAGACACTCCAATTTTATTTATATGTATAGATACATGTACACCCGGGCGAAGCCGGGCCGAGTAGCTAGTATTAATAACAATAATAACCTAGGACTATTCACACAGCGCCATCTAGTATCTAGTACCTACCAAGATAGTCAGAGCTTGTGTTATGGGTACTAGACACCTAGTAGAACATATAAATAAAATTGGAGTGTCTGTTTGTAATATTCAGATAACAGTTTTTTACTACACGTATATGAATATAAATACGGTACATACACCAAAATAACATTTTTTACATTTTTTGTCTGTCTGTCTGTTTGTTTGTTACGGCGAATCTCTGTAATGGCTGGACGGATTTTGACGGGACTTTTATTGGCATATAGCTGATGTAATAAGGAGTAACTTAGGATACTTTTATTTTAGAAATATAAAGTTAAATTCCACGCGGACGAAGTCGCGGGTACAGCTAGTACAACAACAATAAAATATTTGTATATGAGACCAATACAATTTTTTTTTATTTGGTTTAAAGGTTTGGGCTTTTGCTCTGAGTTTTATACCTGTACACTGGGACCTTGAAGATCTATTGTGAAAGAAAGAAAGAAAGAAAGAAAGAAAGAAAGAAAGAAAGAAAGAAAATTGTTTATTGTACGCATCCTTTTCTTCAGAGCTCCCTTCGTGAGTCCATCAGGGACAAGAATTGAAGGATATTCTTAGGAGCGATGGTTTTTATATCCTCAGGAAAGAGTGTATACTTTCCAAAGGAGATATTTCATTTATGCATGAGTGGGCTACAACCACATGTGTAGTGACGTTTTCTCTTCAACTTGGCAATCACATATCAATACAAACGTGTCGTGAGAGATATCGAACCCGCGACCATCGGAAAAGCGGTTTAACCGCTAGACCTCCGAGGCCGGTATTTTAAACATACCAGAGACAAACATGGCGGCTGCGTAGGAGAACAGGAAAGCACTGTCCAGTGTCCCGAGCAGGGTATTGGCCTCCGTCGTATCTGTAACGATATGGTGCATTTTTTTTATATATTTACTTCAGGCAACTAAGACCATATTATAAATAGAATAGAATAGAAAATCATTTATTCAAATAAACTTAATTTAACCACTTTTGAATAGTCACAACAATTTTTTTTTATCTACCGCTCATTCGCTAAACTCATCACAAGAAGAACGAGCAAGATCACAAATCTTTGTAAGTTTACATTTACAAGTCGAAACGTGTGAATACAAACTACCAACCAGCACTAATTTTTTGGGTCAAATATAAATATACAATAAGAGAAAATCAGTCGTAGTGATTAAAGTAGACCAGTCCCTACAAGCAGCACTCGTTCACGAGCATGACGGATGAGCAAGCCATCACTGCGCTCGACCATATTTTAGGGCGCCCGATGACCCGGCCCACCACGCCGCCACATATCTTATAGACTAACGTACATATGAAATAATATAATATTAAGATATTGAAATTGTCTGTATGGTCACGGCACTGACGACGGCAATCAGCCACGGTCATCGGGCGATATGTCTGGCGGCGGCGGCAGCACGCTGCAGTTCCGGTGCAGCACGCTTTTATGAATGGGCTTGCATGTTGTCATGTACGTGAAGAACGTTGATTATATTTGTGCACACACACACAAAACATTGGGAGCTTCAAATAGAATAGAAATTGAAAATAACTGAACACACACATTTTACATTAGGGTTGCCACTTTTGAAAAAATATTGTCAATTGAAAATTTTTTCAAACATTACCGCTCATTCAGAGAAAAATATTGTAGAATTGAAAGTAACTGTGCGCGCACACACACATTACATTAGGGTTGCCAGCATTAGAATATTTTTTTAACTGTGCACACACACACATTTTTAAGTTTAAATGTGTGAATAGAAACTACCAATTAGCACTAATTCAATTAAATACTCAGATAGAGAAAATATTTCATATACAACCAACTGGTTGAGAAATTAAATAAGAAAAATCAGTCGTTGTGATTATTGATGCAAACCAGTCCCTACAAGCAGCACTCGTTCACGAGTATGACGGATGAGCCAGAACCATTTGGAGCACTGCGCTCGACCATATTTTCACACAAACCTGTCAAATTTGGTTCATATATTGACCCGGATAAATATGTGTTGCCATAAACATATCTCAAACGCCACATATATTAATGTCCAAAAATCGTCATTTTTATCACTGATCAACTACATCCATCCATCACTTATTCATGTAGGACATTTTAGCCACTTATAAACGTCAAGTGTTTCATTTTACTCAATTTTTCACAATCGCTATTTCAACGTTCCGGTGCAGATAAAGACATTGATCCCTGGCGAAAAATCTCATCTTTTACTGGACGGAAAGTAATATTGTATAAAAACGTCGATCATTACCAATTTACGTTGCACCCCTTCACATCAGCTGATAACATTCGCATTGAGCGGTAAACACTAGTTGCTATAATTTAGCAAAATATACTCGTACTTATAACAGTTAGTCGAATTTCGTATTTATTATGTTATTAACAGATTTGGTTTAATTATTGTTTCAATATTTAGCCACCGAGTGTAAAATCATTATTTTTATAAATAATTATTAAATAATAGGGCCGCGGTGCGGGTGGGAGGTGGTAAAACTCATGTTTTGTTTCTGAAGATAAGGTTGCGACGTCAGCATCAGCAAATTATACTGGTATATTGTGATTACACACACACATGGTATAGACAATAGTTTAAACCAAAAATTAACAATTTTAGTATAGTTATAAGTTGTACAGTTTCAGAATGAGAAAAAATATTGTACAATAGAAACAGTAATTTGTTACACACACACAAACGTGTCAATACGAAGTTTCAGATATTAAATAATGTATATGTTGCCAGAGAACAATTCCGTATTTGCTTAACATAGAAATCCAAATATTGTTTTGGCACAATTGAAAATAACATGCACACACACATATTTAATAAAGGGCATTAGGGTCTCCAGAGTTAAAACAGAAGTAGATCCAAAAATATTGTACAATTGAAAATAAAAAATTCTGATACTGAATTGGCACACACACAAAAGTTACAAGAAAATATAGAAAATAACACAAAAAAAAAGACAATTATACAAATATACGAAAATACAGAAATCAAAAATAATTGTATTATTAGTTATAAATAAGCTATAATTTATGAGTTGTGAAATGTCCAAATATTATGATATATGGCTTTTTTGACTTCTAGTGTGTTAAAACCACAAGGTCTGTAAATGTATTTATAACAATATAAACATTTCTTCTTATAACTCGTGTATATAAAGTTTATTGGTCGGTTTCAAATATACTGTTCCTTCGCAAGTATAGGTACAAAAAAATATTACAAATAACATAATTGAGAAATCAATAAATCGAAACAATAGCGCGTTTTTATATTTTATAAATACATTTCAGGACAGACCATCTATTGGCATTGAATGCAAACACTATTGTTTCACTGATTATAACCTATTTAAACCTTAACATAATGTGTAAATTATTCCTTGTACTTCTTATGTTATTACTGTATGTTAGAATTCACGTCATTATTGTAGAAAAAATCCGATATTTTAAAAATATATTAAAAGAAGGTAGTTTGGTTTTAGTACTAATGAAGTACCCGATGTAAGGATTATTACGAATATTGTAAATAGCGCCATCTAGTATTCATAGACCAACCTACTACACTGACTTTGGTCTATAAATACGGAGGTCGGTAGTTGAATAATCCTCTTTCGTTGCGTGAGCCGCGGCATTCAGTCGATGAGCGCAGAGCGTGCCGGTTGTGTTTTGGATATTAAAGTGAATTGTATTAGCAATGGGTTTATCCCAGTCTGTTGGGCCTGGGGGGAAGCTGCAAGTAGTGAAGGTGAGTGTTAATGCATTCTAAAACGGCCTTTTAAACCTACACCCGTGTCACAAGTCACGGGCGCTACTTGGGGTTTCCCTTGCGGTAGCCGGCTGCAAAGCCTCAGTCGTCCATCATAAATAGTGCTTCTTACATGTATAAAACGAATGAATAAATTATATTCTATTCTATTATATATTTAGAAAAAATTGGACTGAATCGGCTCGATGTTGGTACGTACCACACTATCTGATTCTGCCAGCCAGCCAGCAAAGTTTTTGTTTTCATTGTATAGTAAAAGATTGCTAATCTTATCTTCTACCATATAATAAAAACCAAAATGAAATAAGATACGATGGGGCTGGCATTATCATATTATGATAAAAGTCCCTAAAGGATTAAACAAAACCGTGAAAGAATTTTTGGTAAATATAGAAATAGAAATAATATTTATTCAAATAAACTTAATATAAGCAGTTTTGAATAGTCAAGTTTTTTGATTCTACCGCTTATTCGGAATGCAGATTCATCACAAGAAGAATAAGCAAGAAACTTGTGTGTTGCTCTTAAAAAAACTGACTGCTTCGTAAAATAACTGACATGTGAGACCATAACCGAATAGATTTTATTATATACATTTGAATAAAAAAAACCGTCATAGTTCATTCTTGCTAGTCTGTGAAACAGCCGGACCGATTTCGACGGACTTTCATTCGCAGATAGCCAATGTTATAAGAGGTAACTCAGGCTACTTTTATTAAAGTAATGTTGTTGAATCAAAAACAAGTTTAATTCCACGCGGACGAAATCGCGGCTAACAGCTAGTTTGTAAAAAAATCAAAACAAATTTATTTGCTACTAGTTGTACCCTCGACTTCGTCCGCTCCACGCGAAAAGCGTGGAATTTAACTTTATTTTTCTAAAATAAAAGTAGCCTAAGTTACTCCATATTACATCAGCTACATCATTGCCTTGCCTTTATCCCGTTATTTGTGGTCGGCGCAGTATGTCATTCTCTTCCACTGCTCTCTATCGGTCGTCATATCTGAGCATACTCTTCTTTTATTCATATTATCTCTCACACAATCCATCCATCTTTTCTTAGGGCGTCCCCTGCCTTTACATCCATCCACAGGGCGGTGCTAGCAATGTACCACGTCAGGTTGACCTCCATGCGGTTCCCCCTGGAAACCATCGTGATAAATTCAAGGTGAATTTGTCACGCTAACTGACCTGACCTCATGCCCATCTTATCATCCTCCACTGGTGCCCCGCCAGTGTACACCCTTAGCGCTGGCGGGTGCACCATTCCATTATCATCCTCCATCCACATTCATATTATACAGTTTCCATAAGACATGATCCTCGTTCCTCCACATAACATGCCCATACCAGCTCAATCTGTTACCTCGGAACTTTTCTATAACCGGTGCAACTTTCAAACTTCCTCGTATGTACACATTCCTTACTGTCATTCCTGGTGACCCCACACATCCATCTCAACATTCGCATTTCTGCCACATGCACACCTTTCGTCCATCCTCTCTACGGCCCAACTTTCAGATCCATACAGAACGACAGGTCTTATAGATTTATAAACTTTACCCTTTAATTTCAAGGGCATTCGAGGGTCGCATTCCTGAGACCTGTCGCCATTTCATCCATCCCGCACTAATTCTGTGCTGCGTTCTAATTAATTATTACATCAGCTACTTGCCAAAAAAAGTCACGTCGAAATAGGTCCAGCCATTTCAGAGATTAGCCGGAACAAACAGACAGACAGACAAAAATTGTAAAAATGTTATTTTGGTGTATGTATCGTATTTATATTCATATGCAAGTAGTAAAAAACGGTTATTTCAATATTACCAACAGACACTCCAATTTTATTTATATATATATATATATATATATATAATAATGACGTCAATTAGTCATTAATCATTTTATTAGCTGCTGATTTGTATTATATTTTTCGTCGAACCAAATCGTATCGTGACTCACACAAATATCGATTTTAATTTCGCGATTCCGATGATATCCGATACACTATATATGCAGAACATACAACATACATACTGGTACTCTACTCGTATGTCATATACTTGTAGGTTCATCTGACTAAAGTGAATCCATACAATGCTAAGAAGGTCTCTCTTTTTATTATTCGTCATACAAAATATACACAAAACAAAAAAAAAATCACTCTTCTACGATCAACCCCAATTTTTTAATAGCGATATTTATTTATATGGCAAAACAACGTTAACAGATGTTTTATTTATATAAGGGTAGTTACAATATATCCTTTGATTACTTATTGTAAATTTTTATACCTATTCCAATGAAAGACCTATTGACTTTTTCTAAACGATACTTGGGGACAGCAAGTTTGTATTTAAATCTAGTATTAATATTATGAATATTGCTGTTTTTTGGAAATAAGTCAAGATTTTTATGAACATGTAAGATATTTGAATATATAAATTGAGAAGCAACGGTGAGAATATTTGAATTTCTCTTTTAATGAGTCACGACTCTTCATACAGTAGATCGCTCCAATGGCACATTTTTTGTATCTTCTAAATATATATAGCTCAAAGGTGACTGACATACTTAGTGATCTATCAACGCACAGCTAAAACCACTGGACGGATCGGGCAGAAATTTGGCATGTAGGAAGATGTTACGACGTAAGCATCCGCTAAGAAAGGATTTTGATTAA